CTGAGAAAATGTCGATAATGGTTGCAGCCTCCTCTTCAATGGTATGGGAGGGAGGTGTTGCAAGCCTATTTGTAACGAAGTCTCAAATTATTTTCCAGTTACAGGCAGCGAATTGAAGCTTACCTGGTATAGGTTTCTCGGCTTCCCAATCAAATACTTGACATAAGGTTGTCCTATGATCAGAGCCGACTTCCAGGTCTTGTCAAATTTTGCAAGAAGCACTCACTGTCACGGTTTCAGTACAACATGCTTGGGCGATCTTGTAGGTACAGTATATTAATTATGATTCTATAGAGAGAGAATTCCTATAGCTAGAATACAAATATATGTACACTCTGAGATTCTCCTCTTCTGTAAGGTTCTCCCTATATCTAGAATAACATGGAATCCTCGACAATACCCTAGAAGATTCTTGATACACCTGCTGTCCTCATGAACCTTCAGTATGCTTCCAGAAAGTTCATTGAGAATCTTCTAAGCTCCTTGTATTCCGAGATCCTTCCCGAAGATTCCCTTGCATTCATTGCCTGCGCTAGCCAGCGTAGGCTACAGGAATCCCTAGGCTTAACAGCCGTTACACTCACGTTGTTTCGAACAAAACAGAGGTCGAGGGCAGCCCCGGCGTTATGTAGAGGAGTTCCCAGTTGATTCAAGAGTCTGAGTCACCTCTAAGCTTTCCAAGAGAGCAAAGAGTCGCCTTCCACACTGTCACTCTTAGATTTCGGATCCCAGGTTGAGTGGTGGATATTAAAGTCTCATCCAAGAATATCCAGATTTTTAGTGGTAGTCATTATTATCGACTTTAAACTTGATCGTCGACTTTGTATATGTACGTCTGTTATCGCAGACATTGGAAATAATTCATGAGATTGCTTAATGAGTGGCTAGATTTGATTCCAATATAATATTGTAGAAGACTTGTCCCAACTATCAGAGGGCTATAACGTCTTTATCTATCCACAGGGAAATTCCCCATATTCCAACCACGCTAGCCATACATGACGTAGCATATAAAACTTGATTCGTATCATCATTTTGGGTTTGAGGTTTACCGTGCATATGCTACTCGAGTCGCATGTCTGGCTACTATGCGACACGCTTAGGTATCAATCCAACAACCCACACCAAAACCGAAACTACTCACAACCCTGATGATGACCCCATGAATAATTGGAACAGTAGCCTGCAACATAGCACAATTAGGCTAGACATCGTTGACCAGGACCTAATCCGAACACACTAGATGATGAAGGCACTTCCCGGAACCAATTGCTCCGATTGGAGCGTTGTAAACATTCCAATATTCAATGGCTTTTTTGTTTCTTCGTGAAATGTGGACTCGCAGAAGATCCAGAGAATGTATGGCCGGCTTGAAAGGAGGTAATCCTTGTCCCTTGCGAATATATGTCATTACTCAAGGTCGGACTGTCCAGTTGGGAAGAGGTGAGAAGCCTTGGAAGCTCGGGTGGGAGTTTTTTTATTCTACGAGCTTAGTCTGTGGAAACAAAGGGTTCTTGGGATAGTACCACACCAGCCCCATTGTTGGAGGCAAGTTCTAGGGCGACATCGTGAGCAGGGCCACGTCTACCTACATTGATCTGGAGGAATCAAAGGCTTGTAGTCTTCTATCTTCTTCGACCCCGGTTTCGGTACCTCATAGTTATTGAAAGACTATGCTGGGCTGGAATGACGTACCGTTAGGATGAAGGTATGGAAAGAGGTAACTATGACTTTAAGAGAAGTGAAGTTCGTGAGTTATGCCCCTAGGACTTGGATCAATGGACGAACTTGAGGATACTCCCTAGTATTCTCAAGTTTGTGAATAATGTGGAGATTTTTAAATTTCCCATTATATAAATTGCTTATATTATCTACGTGTCAGGACCTTCCTCTTTAGACATGAATAAGGGGATTTCTGCACACTAGTGGATGTTCCAACATATCTCCTTGTCTAAGCGAGAAAGTAAGGATGTGAGAAATCCTTGCGCCAATAGATACTATTAAGAATTTATTGAGAAATACTATGTCTTATCAATGGGTGATAATCGAGATCAATTATATCCCATGGCGCATGGCGCATGTGCATATTATTATAACGTGAACATTTTATTGTAATGCAGTCAAGTTACTTCCCTAATTATAACAATAGTGACTCCTCGAGGGAAATCAAGGGAGCAAACCTAGATGTCGAGCCTACTGTTGAAATAGGAGATGGAGTCGGGGCTCGCGAGTGTTGTGTCGAAGGAGACCCAGCGGAGGGTTCCGGAGCGAGCGGGGGAGAATTGAGAGCCAGCCAGGACTTATCTCTTTCCTGGCGCATTACCCGCATTCTCTCCTTGTATGGGCGAACGAATACTCTGTTAGCTCGGAAGGGTCTCGCCGGGCATCCAGTGGAGGAGACCACGTGCGGGCCAGCACAGTTAAGACACTTTATGGGTGTTACACATGGGCCGTTGTGTAGTTCTGACGCACTAAGTCCGCAACGAGCTCTCCGGGTATAGGCATTGATGTTGTGAGCCCCATGGCACCGTTGACAGACTTGGAGGCGTGGGCGACTGTCAGCCGGTCGAATTTTAGTGGACCGAGCAAATAGGCGGACGCTGGAGGGGAGTTCATCTGCAGCTGACTTTGCAATTACCAATCGGAGAGTACCTTCCCATTCTGGGGATGCCATAGAGTTAAGTGTCCAGCTGATAGAAAGAATCGATTTTGTGTCGATTTTTGCCGTTGTGAGTTCTTCATGGATGTCAGCATCGGTAAGGGCTTCGGAAGATCCGGAAGCATTGTACCCATATTTGAGGACTAGGCTGAGGAGAAATTTCTATCGTTTTTCCTGTCTTTCGATCGGCATAACTCCTGTAGCGGGCTATAAAGCAAGGGCTGCTTGCATGAGTTCGGGGTTTTGATCAGATGAGGGGGCCACGAGAGCTATCCCAGAAGGGACCGACCTGATTTCCTTGATTAGTTCCGGTTTTTCGAGTAAGCTTCTCAACTTTGTACGGAATAGAAGAGAATCTTGGTATCTCAAATGGTTGTCGGGCGCTAGGCGTATCATGACTCTAGAGTTCAGCCTTTGTTTTTTAGTCTTGGGGGTGACCATGAGTACGTGTCAGGATTGACTTCTGTGTAATCTATGTATGTGGAGATAGCCGAATTTGGGTGTTTTATGATTCTGGTCTGGCCTTTTGGCCGAGTATTTGTGCAACTATCTCAAGCATGACATGGGATTGCACCCTCCAGACGTTGAATAACATGTTTTGACTGCTTCCCGGCCTAGTTATACACCTTCTTCTCTAGTTGTGCGGCCTTTTGGGATTTTATCTGTACGATAAAAGTTTTCTTCGCAGCATTTGCGTACGAAGAAACTTTGGGCGGTTCAATTAGTCGGGCTAGCTGAGCGCTAACTTTTACATGTGGTGCAGTTTGAGACTGCCTGAAGACAGGAAGGCCTGCAGTAACTCGAGCTGCATTTCGCGTTACGATAGACTTGGGGTCCGCGGCAATTATCGGCAGTAGACCACGCAGATGTTGGGCTCCAGCATTTTGCCAGGCCAACAATGAAGCAGCTATGTTATTTGTCATAGCTGCCGAGGGGTGTTCGATACTCCACGCTGTTGTACGCGCGCTAGATCGCGGGATAGTTGAGGTAGGTTCCTGCTCAATTGCGACGCTGTCTTTGGTGGACGCGTCAATGGAGCTGGAGATACCCTGAGTAAAACCTCTTTTCAAAGTTTTTTGGGGGATGCAGTTAGGTAACTGCTACCAGTACGGGAGCTGGCGTTGGAGGGAGGGAAAGGTTTTAAAGAGAATTTGGAAGGATATTCGTTTTCCAATTAGGGGTCCATGAATTCGTCTTCTGAGTCCATGTAGATGGGTTCAGCTGGAGATTGTTGCTTCTCAGCTGCAGCTGAAAGGATAACATCTTCCTGAACATTTGGGAGCGGAAGGTGAGGTCTTGCACGTTTAGCGGCGCGCGAGACAACTCGATCAGGGGACACGAGTTTGGCAGGAATTTTAAGCCTCCCGGGGGTCATCTTAACGTCTTGGGACGATGCAAGGTCGGATGATTGAGTCAGAAGGTGTATCTCATCTTGGGGGAAAACGTGATGGATTGTCTTGATGCGCAGAAACAGTGTGCACGACTTCGAAACCCTTTTTTATTTAACGTCGTGCTAGCTCAGAACACTACGGTAAGGTCTCGCGTTGGCCAGCTCGGTCTATATAAACTACCTCGTACACCTATGGATTACTAGCCAAACGCTCCCAACTTTTGAAGAGCACGTGAGATGTGTCGTTGGTACACTTTATGGTAATTACTATGTTCTTCCCTGTGTTGTCCAATCTGATCACAAAGATGAGTAGTGATATATATGGCCATCGCGAGTCCAGGCTCACTGAATTCATATGTAATTGAAAGCCGTATATGTAAGGTGTTGACAGCTGCACCACACCTGGTCAAAATATTGCTCCCCGGATCGTCAATCCTACTACCGTGTAAGATAGGGATCTTAGAGTCACATCACATTGTTGGCATGGCTTAAGAAGGCTTGGGTCGGTGATCTAGCTCGAGAAGTCACGAAAGCAAAATGCCCCCAAAAAAGTAGTTTGGAAGTGATCTTACAGTTGCCTCGTACAATTTTTTGATAACTTCACTTGTACAAAATTAAATGTAGCTTAAACAGTTTTGACTAAAAGTTTATTGTGTCTCATAGAGGATGGGAATTAACAGCATGCATATAAGGCTCCTATTTGTTGATCTTGTAGATTGCTGTATTATCAGCACACAAGTCATAAATATACACATTACTTAAGAAACCTTAAGGTCGCAAACTTGCGCCGCGTATGGGCGCTTTGTACCTCCACGGCGATATTCAAAAAGGTTAATTTTGTGAACTCCCAGGCGAAAATTCCAAGGGTAATATTCAGGCGCTCTCGTACTCATAAGATCAACAGCGAGTCCCGCACGCATAGAAATTAAGAAAAATCAGCATTTAAATGTTCTAGTATTTTGGATTCCCACCGTAGCCGTCATCAGGTCGAATTTTTCGGTTATCATCATGATGTTTTTTACGCAAGGCCGCAAGACGCTTCTTCTTGGTCACAGAATTTACATAAGTTCCGATGAAGAATCCTATGATATTAAAGAATGGTACCCAGGCGTGCTCTGGGAGAAATTGTTGGGCGAACGCAAGTGCAAGCGGTGATGAAATCCAACTGACTTTCATAACAGGCATAAAGCCAGCTTTCCAGGTCGCGTGAACCTGATGGATAGTCTTGGCGCCAGCAATGATTGCCATGGATATTAGGTATACACTATTCTGTATCGGAGCAATCTATAATTATGCGTTAGCGGTAATCACTTTCATGAAGCAAAAGGTTTTGTACATACTATTAAATTGCTCGCTATTATTTGTAGTATCTTCGCTTTCAGGCTGGATTTACCCGTGAACACTTTTTGAAGAATGCTGATCAAGACATGTCCTAGTGGCGCACTAATGAACGCACCATATGCAGCCATCTTAGGAACCCGAGACGTAAAATATAGCCCCTCCCTATTACGGTCCTTTGCAACCCATGAAGCTACTACTTCCTGTAGCGCAGAGAGAGTTCCCGAGGTAAGCATTTTTGTACGGAGCGGGTTTGTTTGGAGTTGTTGTAAATAAGCCTAGAAGAGCATTAATGGTATCAAACATCGTAGAAGACATGATGTCACTTACCGTCAAATACCCACCCTGACCAATACTATCCTTTCCGCCGGTCAATGCAACTCCCAGTTCGTGTACTAGCTCTTTCTTTCCTTCCCTGATCATATGAATCCCTTGGGTAACAGTTGCCATGCCTCCACCTGCCGACTTGGCCGCCTCCTTCTCCAGTTTTACCGACATTATGGTGACTGTTTCAGGACAGTAGCACGGGTTCCTATTAATTGGCGCGGATCAGCTCAAGTTACTATCCATCGTTCAAGTTGTTGATGAGAACGGAACCGCAACGATGACCACTTTGAATTGGGAAGGGGTGGGGGACCGAGAAAGCATTCAAGTAATTGACTTCGTGTTGTCACTGTTACGAAGCGAGCATCCTGCTTCACTCAGCGCGAATTGGTGGTATCTCGGGTATCTATGTGATGTGGTTGAGGAGAAACTAACCTGAACTTTGCGTTCAAAACCTATATATAATTTGAATCTTTCTTTCTGGGTAATTAACGAAGGACGTTGAGCAAGGCCGGGATGACTGAGGAAGAATGTTTGCGATTGGGAAGACCGACGCTCCGAAGCAGGGATATGGCCCGCTGCTTTCTTGATGACTTAGCGGAAGTTGATGGCACGTGCGCGCTCACTGCCTAACATAGTTAACATTGACATGACGAAGATCGATTGATTGTCGTAGTTGAGACTTGAAACCGTCATGATTTCGATTAAGAGATCGGAAATCAAGCGTAGAAGAGCCGGCTTATATTTATGGGTTAAAACTCACATCTGAGTGTAATAGGCCTTCTTCAAAAGTGCTGCGGGGAAATGGATCGGTCGCAGATCATCACAGGGTACTTTTATTTACCAAAGTTAGACGTTTGATGATTTTAAAGGCCGTAAAAAATTGACAATATGGTTCCTTCTAGATTTAATATTGTTAATAAAAGAATATAATCTTGATTGTGCTGACAGGTAAATTGGAATTACTTGATCCTCACTGTAAATGATCAAAGCTATTTTTATAACAAGACAAGATTGAATTCGTAATTATTGGGCCACTTGCGAGTCCGTGGAAACGTTTCGCTTTTGATCGTTGTATATTCTGTAAATGAAAGAGAGGCCGTTGCAAAGGTCAATTAGAGCTGATGTTGAAGATCATGATTGTGAAAGATCGGGAAGCCAGCCAGTGAAGTTAGACTGATGCAAGTGTAAGCAAGTTCCAAATGAACTTCGATTTATCTGGGGCTAGCGCTCCATTCCGTCTCCACTTTCCCATTTAGAAACAGTTTGAAAATATCCCTGCTGCTCAAGGACAGGAACGCATCATGCAAACTTCTTTTGGAAATTTCTCATGGCGGGACCTACCAGCGTCGAGGTTCACTCTTAAATATAACACGACAGATTTACAACTATGATGAAATAAAGATAACAGGACTTAGGAGAATAAATGTGGTCTTCGCTTTGTTGGTAGTCTCATTTGCCAAGACACGGGTAATATCTAGATAAATATTAAGGAAATAATGACCCCTCAGTCATTGAGGTTGTAGAGCGCATTGATTCGAGTAGCTACTGAAGTGAAACTTAATTCGGAATTTTAAGTCACGTGTAGATCAACAACGTGGCCCACTTGATGGCCCCAATTATTCTTAATTCTAACAATAGCTTTAATAAAGTCGCTCAAAGCCCAGTTAACAGGGGAATACGTCTTGATACCTAACAGTAATATTCTCATCGAATCTAGGAATGATACATCCCCTCTATCTGAGCTAATATAACTTCACATTACAGAAGAATTTGGCTTAGAAGACGATGACTCAAGACTCCCCACCGCTTTAATCCTTCTCTCCTAATACGATGCATTCTGATAAAAGCGTCATCACATCTACAACTATTGCTTTCTTTACCATTTTTTTGAGTGAAAACTCTTATCATTGACGTAGACAGTAGCATCGTCTGGCCCAGCTACACACCCTCAACATTTAGGTCTCAGAAGGAGGTCTTCAAAAGTAGCTTCCAAATCTGGGGGCCGGATCTTTGGGATTGACATTAGAAATACTGAGGAAAATGAATAAGATGATACCAAGGGTTGATTCAGTCTAAGAAGGAAAGGAGATTTTACTTTTGATATAAATTTCCAATATTAAACCGCACTTTAAACACTACAACTTCGATTGTAATAGTGCAGGCGATAATATGACATAGTCATAGTTAGATTTTAAAGTCTTACATCATCTGAGGTAGTTCTACACGCAGTATCTTGATAGGTTTGATGCATCAAACCTGAGACCTTAAACGTTTAGTTCGAATCCAGTAAGACCAGGTCAGAGTTGTCACAGTGCCTACCTAACGAAAGATAAAGGCATGCTTTGTTTAAAGGGGTTGAAACCTACCTATGAGGTGTAATTGTATATTAAGTCTAAAACTTGATGGTAAATGACATAAAATACAGTATTTTGCGAAAAGAATTTAGACCATGAGTGTTTCTGAGGCCAAGAGGGTCATCTGCCCTTTTCTCAAAGCACTATACAAAGGTCAAACCTATATGACTGAGTAGATACTAATTTATTTAAATGGTTACAATAAACTCGGTGACACAATTTCGGATTTCATATGTTTGATCATTCCAAATCTGCCCGTTCAGAGAACCTAACGTTATCGCACCGAAGACCACAACACCCTCATCTTTTCAAATTGAATCTTCCTTTAATCTCAACATCTCCTCTACTTATCCATGAACAATTTTCTTCGATAGAATATCTGCCTGATGGGCCGGCAAGAGTGAGAACTGATTTATTTGTAGTTCATTGAGGGTCAAATTGTGTTGTGATTGATGACATAACCACCCCTGCATCTGGTTATTGTGGATCATAGAGATGTAGAATCTAATGGTTAAAACAGAACAGACCAAAGTCAGATAGAATAGAACAGGATGGAATAGAATGTGATGACTCAGAGCTGAATGGAACTGAGCGACTGGGGATATGGAAAGCCATAGAATGTGGTATATGTATATAAAAGTAGTGATTCTCTAAATTTGAATGAAAGCAAGCAAGTCTACTAATTCATTACAATCTACCTCTACCTTCAAGCCTCAGTGAATGTGCAGTTATTTACCGGTAACTATTCCACCTCCCATAACCTTGCATTCATAACAAGTTGTCGATATTCTTGGCAAAATTGTTATCAAATTCAAGGCTTGTTCATCGATCGTAATTGCACAGCAAATTATTGTCGAGGAAATGCAATTTTCCCCTAAAATTTTCATGCTTTATCACAACCTTGTATTTTTCGAGATCATCAGCAGGTAGTGAAAATAACGTAAACAGGGTCGCACGTCACATCGAGCTGGTATGTCTTTTACAGAAAAGGTAGAGGCCCTCGGGTTTACCCACTGCTCATGTAGAAATTTCATAGGGCGAGGAGCTTGTCTGAGATTGATATATGGGTGAGTTTAATTGTGATTGCTGACTAGCACAGTTCTGAAATATCTGCAGGTCGAGGCCTCGATCGCGAAAAACTGGCATATCTCCATTTCACTATCACGTCATCACAAACTCTGAATTCAGCCATTAATTGCAATTTGATCTTAGTCCTCTCTGTATTCTTTAGCGATACCAGGGGTTGGCGTAGTATCCAGCAATAAGGTTGCTGGAATATGCTTAAGACTGGCAATGCCGTCTATGTATGTGCCTATTATTAGGCTCAAGCGAGTGCAAGTGTGAGTAAAGCTTACGTTTACTTTCCGGAAGGTCACAAATACTTATAAATTCACGGAGTGATATATATATATATATATATATTTTTTTTTAAATCATATAATGTGCATTCAGCTATCTAGCTATGACACATGACCGGTGCTATGTATACATGTGGGATGACTATTTTGACGTTGGAGACACTCATACTCTAAATTTCATTTGCAAATACCACTATGAGGTATGCTTGCTTACACAAACAGTCGACCCTCCTCCGTAAGCACCCACCAAAGGGACGTTTCAAAACCTTTGGTTATCCAAGCATGCCTTCGTCATCCATGCATACCAGCGCCGCGAGATATGTGGTTGTGTTTTGCCGCATTTGAACCAGTGATCTACTGTCTCAAGTGGGATATGTGTCCAAGCTATCCAGACTCTACTTGGCAGACCGGCCAAGGCGATGTACTACCGCACCATCCAACCATGGCGGTGTTTATAGTGTCGCCTGCACTCTTCGGAGTGATATTAGCAGTTGGACGTTAACTACAATGTTTGTCATTTAACTGGTTTCAGTCTCAAGTCATTAAATCTATGTTCAAATCAGTCCTTATTTTACTACGTGTGACAACACAAAACAGCTTGCGGAGGACGAAGGCTGAACACCTGTCAGTGGTGCCCTCTACGAATCTGGGAGTGAAATATTCTCCCAGAGCCGAGATTCAGTCACGAAGAAGGGTGGGATGAATTTTATTTTATGGATTTTCGACTTGAAGGAGTTGCACTCGATATTTTGGTCGAAAAATCAGTCGGCAGAGATTTCACAGCCGGAATAAAGTTAAATAAAATCTCATCACCACTAATATACGATTCACGAATGGGCCTAGGTCTATCTGGGGGTCGTATTCAAACATCCGACATCTCTTAAACTCCTTTTATACTTGCGACGAAGCATGTCCCAATCGATCCTACACCTGCGACCTACCTCCATACCCGTCCGATCACCTACCTACACACGCTCTAATGAGGAAAGTCATGATGTAAACGGGATGTGTACAAAGGAGGAAGAAGAGGGAAAACACACCGAGGGGATTACACAAATCCCCAATGACGAAAACAACCCAACGGTACGATATGAAGGTGCAAGTCTAGAGCAACGGTGAGATCTGGGACTACATTTATATTTCGGAGTCAATGAAGATGTCAAGGGCTCGGGCGCGTGGTGGCCGAGGCTGAGGAGAAATTTGCGCCACTGCGTGTATACAGCGGGTTTCTGGACGGTCAGGCTTGGTATGATTCAACACATAGGTGAAGTCTGAGGTGGTCCGGTCATTAAAGTGGGACGAGGTTTGTCTGTACTTCGCGGTAGTTAACCTGATCCGGCCCGACCCCACTCGTGCTTAAGCTCCAGTAGGAGTGCAACGGTAGTCACTTAACCGAGCACGTTAATGAACAAAAAAAATATCCTCTACCTCATCTTTACCACTAAACTACAAAGCTTCAACAGCCTCGTCACTACCGATCCCCTAGCCGTGGAAACCGAAAATGGGTCGAAGAGCTAAAACCGAGGTACCGATCACTCGGTGTTTATCAAATTCTCTAGTTGATGTGCCGTAAAAATGTCGATCGTATTTCGTCGAAGGTCGAGTCGTCGGTGCCCTTAGCCGAGCTTGGACGAATATAAGGCTGGTATCTTGACCGTTTCTTCACAGCGTGCGACAGCCGCAGCGGGACTGATGCTCACTAGCATGTTTGAATGCAAGTATAACCTTTAGATCTTGGTATGCTTCTGTAGGTGGTGAAATGATTGTGGAGAGGGTCGCGAGATGAATTTAGGTGAAAAAGGCCTTCCAGCAAAATCTAAGAAACTGAGAGATGTCACTTGTTCTAAGACCAACATCAGACAGGTTTTATCCAATCTATAGTTCGTATTTAGGGTGTAGGTTTCAAGTTTTGTCGGGTTGTGCAGTCGTCAAATCTTCGCGGGCCAGATTATCGACCAAAATTTGCCAATCCCCATCTTGGTAGCGAATTAGGACGGGTCTAATAGCCCTGAATAAAAAAAGAGAATTTTTACTAAGAAAATAATGACCCCTCTATTATTGAGGTTGTAGAGCGCATTGATTCAAGTAGCTACCGAAGTGAAACTAAATTCAGAATTTGTAGTCACGTGTGTATCAACAACGTAGCCCACTTGATAGCCCCAATTATTCTAAATCCTAACAATTATCATCTTAAATCTCGTAAAACTAAGGAGATATAACATTGCCCGTCCATGACTACGCGCTTAAGCCTCCTCTCGTGTTAATTTCATTTTGATCACCACAACCGATGGCTTCCATCTCATAAAATCCTCGTAGCAGAATTTAAAAATTGTGCCCATGTGAGTGTGTTCAGCCAAAAGGCTCATATCATATGCACACTAAGCACAGCCTATGCGTCAATGCTAGGTAGCTCTCTGAATATGAAATTCTAAAAAAATCATGTGAGCTGCCCGAGCTTTGTAAAGTTACACCAGCAGACTGGTCACCTAAAGCTCCGGGGGAAAGTTCCCAGAGATCTATGCGCCTGGGGGCTATGTGACGTATTATCGTGATCGCCACCCGGTCAACCTCTAGAAGCTTTGTCCTTCGCTCGCTTGCGGTCAAAATGTCGCTAATTTGAACACTAGTTGGCAAGTTAATGATTGTGGCGGATATAGCGGAAGTTGGGGCTTGGATTTCTATGAATTCTCCTCGGAGCTCATTCCCAGATGAGGATAAACGTTGCTCCAGGTGCAAATCGCAATAAACAAGCCTGAGATATACAAGGCTGAGACTGGACGCCTTTCTACGGTGTTCCCTGCGAACCTTGGAGCGAAATAATCTCTCTGAGCCAAGTTCAGCCAAATTTTGCAGGACTGAAGACAACCCACGAAGCAGTGAATAAATACTCATGACCAAATTGCGACATCATTTCCAAAAATATTTCTTCTTACTGATGTCTCAAGTACTCAAGTACTACTGAGAACATTCTCATTTCTGCGACCATTTCCCTCGTAAAGTAAGTATTTGGCCTACACTGGCCTCCAGGTTTACATCTACGAGACAACCAATACCTCAGGGGGAGGAGGCAAAAATCGCTGTGCGCAAATCTGGGTGGCAGATCTTTGGAATAGATGTAAAAGAGATCAGGATAAGCTTACAAGATGATGCAAAAGATGAATACAATCTCTGCGGGTGTGAGATTTGGAATTTTGGCAAAGAGGCTTACAAATTGAGGAGCACTGAATACGCAAAACCTTCGATTGTGAGAGTGTAGGCGACACTACACACGTCCTTATGGTGGTGGGGCGCTGTGGCACGGCATCTAGGCTGATCTCCCCAGTAAAGTCTCGATAGATTGAACGAATATCCCACTTGAGACAGGAGATCACTGGTTTGAATCCAGCCAAGCTCGTCCACATTTCTCGTGGTGTTGACGTGCATGGGTGGCAAAGGCATGTATGGATAACCAAAAGGTTTGAAACTTCCTTTAAGCGGGTACTCATGGTGGAGGATTGACTGTTCAGCGCGAGCAAACGGACCTCGTGGTATTTGCGAATGAAATCCAGAATGTGAGTGTCTGTGAAGTCAGATGAGTCATCCAACACGATTATAGAGCACCGACAGTATGTCAAGGTTGTGTTGATGAATACGCATAAGTGATTAAAAGGCTTCCCAGAATACTATGTTAGCGTATTTAGTCACTATTTAAAGTAGGTTCTTGTGTATGAACCACACATGGCATCGACTGGTAAGGACGGTAGCCTTGCCTCACACATTGCATTACATAATACAGATAGTCATAAGTGGTGGGAAATGGAACCCGAACGAGTTCAGCGACAGAACGATGATGCTTGTTGGGAGATCAATCGAGCTCAAGCGCAAGCAAACAATCATCCAACAATAATGTGATAGTCTTCTCGAAACGTAGTTGTGCCTGGGGAAAGCAAGAGGGTGCATGAAGATATCGAGATTAAGGACATGGAAAATGCTAGGGAGAGAGTTGATTATGATCTATCAGCAAGTGGTCTATCGTCACGCTAATTGGAGGCTCAGGGTGGCCTAGTGTTTCATGATTCACAATCTGGACGATGTCTAGGATAGCCCGGTCATCAAGGTGAGACGAGACTGATCATTAGGTGGATTCTAGCCAGCACCCGTTCGTACTAAGCCCTCTGAGGGTTGCAGCAGGTACGAACTGCACAATTCGTCAAAAACAGAACAGCTCCACTTTAAGTACATGATAGGGAATATTGAAGGTGTCCAAGTGGACGAAGATCCCAAAGAAAGCATACGAGGTAGTCCACTTTTCGTGCCAGAGAGACTCGGACTATTGGCTGGAGTAAACTACATGTCTTCGTACGGTCTAGAATTTACTAGGTCTAGAAAACAACAAAAATATCATCAGTACCATTGCCCTATAACGCCCGAGGTGCTTTTAGGTCATTATTAAGCGCGCCAAATTTAAAGGTGATTCTAGATCCACTAAACAAGTATCTCTTACACAACTACACTTTAACTTTATACCTGAATCTCCTGTGTTTTCTCCCAGGCGTAGAACGGAATCCCGAAAATTTGTATGATCTCTTTGGATCCATAGAATTATCACCTTTTCAGTGTCTAGACTACTGTGATTAAGTTTATAATAATTAATGTATTATTCTGCTGATGCCAAAGTTGATGATACCGATTAAACTAGGCGTACTTCTCAATAAAAATACTACCTACACCTAGAATACCCTCTGCCTGTTTCCCATGGGCATGTAACGATTCCAAAATGAAAAATCTGGCTTGTCTAGTCCCTAATTTATACGAATGACACAATGCAATTGAAACCAATAAGTGAAAGATCGGCAGCCAGGCGGCTAAAATATTAGGTTTCCTGGTCAGCGCAGCATTAATAAAGTCATAAAGTCGTGGAACACTATTTTCACAACGCCATCGCTAATTTCCGTTCCATTTATACACCAGCCCTTACCCCGCGCGTTGTAAGGAAACATCCTCCTTTTCGGTGAAAATACTCCTTCCGTTCCCTGTCTAAAATATCGCGACCGATCAAACATCGGGTTGCTAAAATGTCCGTGATTCTTTCCTTCGTGCCAATAGACTCTTGATTGCCCCTATAGAGTTGTCAAGGTCATCTTCGTTGTGAGCACAGAATCTGTAGCTTTTTTCTTCCGTTATGAACTGTAAACAGAACTTTTTTGTTTTCGAAATTGGATCGATCTCGACAACGTTTACGATCGAAGAAACAGGAATGATAAGGATAGGTAGATACTCTGAGTTATTCTTGTAGAACGTGATATTTTTTGGTCGTATAACTACCCATGAATCCTTCCATTGCCGGACTCCACTTTTTGACTTCAACCAGAGAAGATATCCCTGCCATATCACACGCTCAAGATCTTTTTCAGCGTTGAAGCCGCTCATCTGGCTTTGGTTGCGTATTACACCTAATGATGGCGGGAGAGAATCTTTAACTGCGAAGACTTCTTCTTGCGCTGAGCCGCTTGAGGGTCCTCGTTTTCTCGAAATCTCTATATCCGACCAATCCGAGTGTGATGCAAATTCATTACCCGAATAGTCAACAGTGCAAGGTCTTCGGGCTGTAGTGAAACCCAGCGCTTCTGTTTTCGAAGATCGAGGTACTAAGTCGCTGGGTTCTGGAGAGCTAGAACTAAGTCGTTCGCCATGTAATCTTTGAGATTGAGATTGCATAACCTGACTTAATCGATTCATGCTAACGTTATTCCAAGTTGGGCTAGCTAATAACATCTCTTCTTGCTCTTCAATTCGGGCAGTCTGCCTAATGAGATCAACCCATTCTTGGACGTCTTGCTGTGAATTGGCTTCTAGATGAAAGTTCCTCGAGGGTGAGAATAATCCAAAGATGTGTTGACGTTTTTGTTTTGGATCTTTGAGAAGAGCCACAGCTGTGAGATCAGATAAATGTATCTTGTGTCGAAGTTTATCCTCTTTCTGATTTCGATATATAGATAGGGAGTTTGGGCGCAAAACGAGAAATATTGATTTCCATGCCTTCACTGTTGTCAGTAACTAAAACTTTATTGGATTGTCTGGATAAACCTTTGTCTTCCGAGTGCGCTTTAAAACCACACCACTTTTAATCACTCGATCAAATTCAAAACTACCATTCTGATTGACTGATGAAAACGTGTCAATACGAAGATAAGAGTTACGAGCCTGTGATGACGCAACAATAGTAGGTATCGTGACAGAAATGGGTCGTTGTCCTTGTGGCTTTAGAGAGCCAGCTCGTTCTGATAACTTTTGGAGCTGAATTGTGTCAGCTTTCTGGGCGCTCAGCGCATTTGCCATGATGCAAGCCGCAAGTTTTTACAGGCAAATATGAGTTGGATCCGGCCTAGTTTTATGAAGAGACGAGCTCTACTCTTTTTTCGGAAGATATAGCCCTATGAGTAGAAGATATTGGCGCTGAATCACCAGGAACTGTCTATCTGACGCGCAAATCCAGCGGTGTGTTTGAACTAGCAAGGATTAATCGGCAAGAATGATTCTAAATAAATTAAAATGTCAATTGGTTGAGGTTAGACTTGTCTTGAAACTTGGGTGATTTTCAAGTAGCCGAGGGACGTTGATAATCGTAGCTTGGTGTGACAGCCGAGATGCAAGCCACAACCATTCGATAATCTTATTTGCAACCGATGGATTGAGAGATTATGCGATCGTACCAAGTATTGTCAGTGAGATGAAGTACGGATTATCTAGTCAATCCGACGCACGGTGATCACTACCCATAATTCTATTTGTGGAAACAAATGTTTAGGATAATGGCCAAGGGTATAGTTGTCTCCTTAATAAGCGCGATCACGTGTAAATTAATCGCGCGGAAGTTTGGGCTCCTGGCTTTCAAGCAGCAAATTATTCTGCGATCTTTAGGGGATATGCAGCACTGGCCCTGCGACGAAACAAATCATCCGAACCTACGGAGCATTAGTCGTAAGAAAGGAAAAAAATTGGGATGCCTGTCATCAGCCCCGACAAGTTAATTGCTTTACAGCAAGATCCAAGATGCATCAGGAATGTCAGTGGCCACTACTCAAATGAGGGGCAAATTTTGAAATTCCAGCTAACAAAATCATAAGATTTGCGTGCTGGCCCACGTCGTATTTTAAAAATATTCTCCACAGTGAACGATTTTTGCTAATATTTTCATGAGGATCATGGAAAGACATCACTCACGGATGCCCTTATTGCTACAAATGGCATAATCTCTTCAAAACTTGCAGGGAAGATTAGATATTTAGACTCCAGACCCGATGAACAATCTAGAGGTATTACTATGCAATCCTCTGCTATATCACTTCACTTTTCTATGGGGAAGCGACCTGCTCCAGAGATGCATCTCGAGCAGGCCGACTATTTGATAAACCTGATCGATTCACCTGGGCATATCGATTTTAGTAGCGAAGTCTCGACTGCATCCCGCCTTTGTGATGGTGCAGTGATTCTGATTGATGCAGTCGAAGGGGTCTGCAGTCAAACAATAACAGTTCTTCGACAGGCTTGGGTTGAGCGTTTGAAGTCTCTTCTTGTAATAAATAAAATGGATAGGCTCGTGACCGAACTTAAAATGACTCCTTCAGAAGCCTACACCCACTTGAGTAAATTACTTGAACAGGTTAACGCCGTACTTGGTAGCTTCTTTCACGGAGAGCGTATGGAAGAAGACCTAAATTGGCGAGATGAGGTGGAAAAAAAGATAGCAGAAAACACAACAAGAGAGCCATTTCGATCAGATAAAGCCAAGAATGATGAATTAAATCAAACGTCCCTAGACTCCGATAATCTTGGTTATGAAGAAAAAGATGATGGAGATCTTTACTTTTCACCCGAAAGGAATAATGTCATCTTCAGTAGCGCTCTAGACGGGTGGGCATTTACCGTGAGGCAATTCGCCAGCTTTTACGAGAAGAAGCTAGGAATAAATCGTAAAATTATGGAGAAAACTTTATGGGGCGACTTTTACTTGGACCCAAAATCAAAAAAAATCTTGTCATCCAAACATCTCAAAGGTCGAAACCTAAAACCAATGTTTTGTCAACTTGTTTTGGAACAAATATGGGCTGTATACAGGGCAACTATCGTTGGCGAAAGAGAGAAGGGGTGCGTGGAAATTTTCCTCTCCCTACCACTAGTTGTATTGAAAATAAACTATCTTAACCAAACTATTATCTGACTTATTTTACTTAGTGACCAGACTATGGTAGAGAGAATTACTAAGTCGTTAAATATAACCATCCCTACGCATGTAACACGCTCACCGAATCCACGAACTCTACTTTCAACTGTTTTTAGCTCGTGGATACCTTTATCTACTGCTTTACTTGTCTCAGTTATAGAGTCACTACCATCTCCCTCGGAATCCCAAAAACTACGACTTCCTGGACTAATTGATACCTCTCCGGGTGCAGCGGGGGTCGATCCCGTATTGAGAAACGCGATGATAAATTCAAACAGTTCAGCCCATTCTCCTGCCATAGCATACATCAGTAAAATGATTTCAGTACCTCAGAGTGAACTTCCTGAGAATAAACATCGAGGGAAAGTTCTGAGCCCCGAAGAAGCACGAGAAGTTGCTCGGCAAAAACGTGCAGAAATAGCCCGAGCTCGAGCCCGAGAAGCAGACGAGGTCTCGGATCCCTTAAATCATTTCGCCGTGGCCATCGAGGGGAAGGGGCTATCAGATTCCACAACTTCAGATCAATTAGAACGATCAGACCCTGAGGTTCTCATTGGGTTTGCGAGGATTTATTCTGGTACTCTCTCTGTTGGTGATAGTATTTATGTTCTCCCTCCTAAATTCTCCCCGGAAAATTTAAACCCTGATTCTAAACCTACAAAAGTAACTATAACAGCTTTGTACTTACTGATGGGTCGCGAGCTTGAGACACTACAGTCTGTACCAGCTGGGGTCATCTTCGGTATCGGTGGATTAGAAGGGCATATACTCAAATCCGGAACCATATGCAGCCAAATTGTAGGAAGTGTCAATCTTGCGGGAATCAGTATGGGCTCTCAACCTATTGTTCGTGTTGCATTAGAGCCAGAGAATCCTGCAAATTTAGAGAGAATGATAAGTGGATTGAAATTGCTGGTTCAAAGCGATCCTTGTGCTGAATACGAGCAATTCGAGAGTGGCGAGCATGTTCTCTTGACTGCTGGAGAACTACACTTAGAAAGATGTTTAACAGATCTCAGGGACCGCTTTGCTAATTGTGAGATTCAAGCAGGCGAACCGATTGTGCCGTTTCGAGAAACAATCGTTCGTGCAGATGAGATGAGACATCCAATGAATCGGGAGCTTGGTCGAGGTACGATGATAGCTACAACCGCATCAAAACAAGCAATTATTAAGCTTAGCGTACGACCTCTTTCCGCCAATATAACTCAATTCTTACGGAAAAATTCCGATTCAATCAGGCAACTCAATCTTACAAGCAAATCGGTAGGGAGCGTGGCAAGTTCAAGTAGCATAAGCTCCACTAATATACCATCCGAAATCATTGAGGAAAATGAAAATTCAGGTGCGGTATCGTCCTTACCACTCTTAGAGTTTAAAACACGGCTCGGTGAACTTCTCCAGTCTATGAGAGGACCCCAAGAAATGTATGTCGACAAGATAGATAAAATTATGGCATTCGGGCCACGACGAGCAGGACCCAATCTCCTTATTGACGCCACGGCAGGTGCTATCTTTAGCCAATCGTGAGTAATGGGATTCTAATTATCACTAATTTATCCCTTAACTGAACCTTTAGGCCTCAAGTCTCCACACCAGAAGAAGTGCTAGCAGTCAAAGAGTCTTTACAAGCTAGAGACTTCGGTGATAGAATTAGTTACGCTTTTCAACTAGCAACTGCACAGGGTCCCCTCTGTCATGAACCTGTCGAAGGTATCGTAGTATTCATCGAGGAAGTGAAGCTTGACCCTACGGCTGATGCCGAATCACCTATCCATGAAAAACTTGGTCGACTAACCAGCGAGATAATTAAAATTACAAAATCAGCTATCCAGCAATGCTTTTTGGATTGGAGTCCACGTCTTTGTCTTGCTATGTACTCCTGCGAGATTCAAGCAAGCAGTAAGTGACTTATCGTTAATAATAATTAACTATTGCTAACGCCTCCCAAGCTGAAGTTCTGGGAAGGGTTTACGACGTTCTTACACGTCGTAGAGGCCGCGTTTTATCCGAGGCTTTAAAGGAGGGCACATCATACTTTACAATTCAGTCTCTTCTCCCTGTCGCTGAATCCTTCGGATTTAGCGATGAAATCCGTAAACGGACTTCTGGTGCTGCTTCACCACAACTGATATTTCAAGGCTACGAGATTTTAAATGAAGATCCTCTCTGGGTTCCCTTTACCGACGACGATCTGGAAGATTTAGGGGAGTTGGCCGACAAAGAAATTGTGGCCAAACGGTACATGGATACTGTAAGGAAGCGAAAAGGCCTAGTGGTCTCAGGTATGAAACTTGTCAAAGATGCTGAGAAGCAAAAGACGCTGAAGAGATGAATTTACCCACTCCCCCATCTCTACGATTCTCTGATAGATCTGTATTGTTGAAAGTGACCATCCATCATTGATTAATCATCCTTGTTTTCTCTCAAAACGCTACTTAATGAATCAGAGCACTTGCGCACCTTTCATTTTTTAAGTGTAAATTTACCTTTCATGTTTCACATGATCTATTGGTAGGAAAATCAAAAATGATTAGCCTTACTCCTAGCGACAAACTCTTAAATCAAAGCTTGAGATTTTCAAAACATGTTTACCGAGATAAGTTTATACTGGTGATTAATTACAATATTTCACCACAAAAAGTGCAAAATGTAATAAACTATACGATTAACTAGGATTTGAAAGAACCGATTTTACCGTTTGATGAGAGTTGCAGCCATGTCTTTGGTAAATATCCAAGACTAAGAGCTATCAAGATAAGAATTTTTATTATAGTCCCTTCTGAGTCTAAGACTATGAAGGACTTAAGAGCTATCAGAAAATGGCAGTATATAATATTACGAGCGCCTTTTATTTCCTTTGCTAGATAAATTTTATTCTTTAGGACTTGGAGCTCTGTGCAGTTCATTTTATGCGGAACGATGCTCTCACTAACACCCGATACCACACTAGATCTTTCTGCTAGTGCTCGTAATTTTAGTCCTATTGCTGCAAATAATAAGCAACTTGCTTTTTTAGGCTAGTATACCAGAAGATGAAGACCAATAGGCCCAAAAGGATTTAGCCCGTAGAGCCTACGACAATAAATATCCTGGATTCTTAGCCATTAATTGACTCAAGGGGACAAGTTATGAATTTGCATTTGCAAATGATGTGAATTTACACATTTTCATCTTTTTCGGAGTACTTTACTGAAAGGGCGTCTATTCTTCCCCATCATTGCATCGTACTTAGGGTGAGCGTGCTTCGCATCCCATCCACGTGGTCGCTCTTTAGGCTTGAGGGCAATAACTTTCTTTCGTTTATAAATAATTTCTGCGCCCTCAATTGAAGCTTCTTGCATTACGTTTATAGTCCCTTCGTCCCAAATGCTACGGAATAAGCCTAATCCGATCGGCCGTAATTTGTGGCAGCTGACGAATGCTTGCATGGAGAAATGATCGCGCTTTATTTGCTTCTGTAATTCAGACACATCAAGTGTGATATTTGGGTTTTGTTGTAGAACAAATATAGAGTAGCGATGGTAAGGTGTTCCTCTTTGTGCGAAGGGTGGTAGCCAAGGCGCAACAAGCTGCGCAGAGCTGACTCGAGATAGAGGTACTGAGGTTTGCGTTGGAGATAGAGGGATATTGACAGCAAGGAAATGACATCGAGACATGAAACTGTTCTTCTCCACATCAGGGACATCAGAATCAACCATGACTACTGTGATCAACCGCTCACCAGGGTCAAAAACTTGAATCTTAAGTGTGCCCGGAACTTGGCTCATGCGGGAATCGACATAGTCTCCAGGTTTAATTTTGCGTTGTCGAAAGGCAACTTGGACAGAAGCACTAGGATCGAAGAATGGTTGTAAGTCAGGAACTATGGAAAATTGGTCGATACGTTGCATGATCAATGGATAGGCATATTCTTTCCATTTCTTCTCGGCAAGATACCGGTAAATTGGTTTATTCATGTCTCCTATAAATTTGTCAGTCGTGGGTGTAAATTATACAGGCATGATCATTGAATACCCAGTCCGTCCTCAAACCTCTTCTTTATGAGCGGATCATTTATGTCCGCTTGTATTTTCAATTTATTCATATAATTTTTCATGGCCCGTAGGCGCGTTTCATGTCGTTGTAGACCCCCCTTTAAATTTGAAACGTCTTGCTTAAGCCATTTTGAAATACGAAGCTTTTCACAGCGTATTTTTTCAAGTATTTCATCTCGCTCCTCTGATAAGACTTTTCTCGCCTCTTGGAAACAGTGGTAGGGCATGTGCTCAAACGGGATATTATCAGACGTTTTGATTGCGGCACGTCGGCGTCGAGAACCAATTGGATAAACTCCTGATTTCATTAATCGCTTTTCATCTCGACTAGTGGTTACAGTATTTGGATCAAGTTCTGGCTGTTTAGAAGGTATATCAACGATAAGTTCGTTTAAAGCGCTAGAGGTCGTGGTGAATTTTTGAAGACACCCCATAAACTGTTGATGAATCTGCCCAGATCTAAGACCACGCGTCCAGCGCCTAGCAATTCCGTAGCTTGCCGACATGGTACGCGATTTTTCAAGTTGACGCTGGCGTGGTTGTCAAAGATTTTTGGCATTGGCCAAATCTGGGCCGCGCTTAGTCACGTACGATGAGCACAATTTAGTGCCCATGCCGGGCTGAGGATAAGTGCTCAGTGCTCACATGATTTAGAATATCTATGTCAATATACATCGGTACTAAATAGTGTGCAATTGTTATCGCAACACACACACACACACATCCATCTTTCTATCTTCTAGCGCATTACATCGATTGCTACATAGAAACAAAATCCCAATCTCCTGTAATTCACACTGGCTCCCATAAGAACTACCGACACTCGGGAGAAATCTACTTTATCCCAGGTACTTCACAAAACTCAACTCAAAACAGCATCAAAACCGAAAATTACGAACCCGAATTCCCACCCTTCAGCACGTGCTCAGTCCGCAACGGGCGATGAGACCGCCCAAACCCAGATTAGAATGATGGATCTGGACGATCCCGAAAACAATATTGAAATGTGTAGCCCAGTCGCTACTCTCGACTACAACAACCCTTTCGAGAGCAGCACCCTCGGAAGCACTCTTGCTAAAGGTGTCCAGACCACAACCTCCCGCGTCAAAGAGGCAGAGAACCTGTTCGGCAACATAGCCCACACCCTTGACCAGCAGTGTAATGATCTTATCCAGGGTAGCCTACTAGAGAACCAACGGAAGGCTCTGCTTCTATTCCTTAGAGATCTCTCAAATTTTGCTGGAAGCCACTTCCGGCCTACATCAGCGGGATAACATTGGAGCCCACAGTAATAGCCCCAGTTGAGAACGAAATAAGGTGATTCTCTCAGCCCGCTACCACGACTTCCACCTACGCTGGAGCAGCACACCGCGCAGCGCAGGCGTCCCCGCCACAAACCAAATCGACTAGAAGTAGCCAGACCTTGCTGAAAAACTCTCTGCATCCAAGCGCAATTAATAAACAACACCAACACCCAGAAGATAGATTGTTCGTACGCATTCCAGAGGGAGACAAACGTTGGAATCTCTCTGCGTACGCAATCCAGACACATCTGAAATCAAAGCTGGGCCCAAGCAGCCCGTTCTTGACCAACGTCCAAGCAACTAAGACGGGGCTCGCTTTGTGCCCGAAAACCGGCGAATCCACTACTCTGAAAGAAAAAATTGCTTCAGTGGACCTCACAAGCGATGCAACCATAGAGAGCGCAACCCCACGGGTGTCCTTTCGTGTTGAAAATGTTCCACGCACCTTTGGGGCAATTAACGATAACTTGGAGTACTGCTTAAGGCCAGTAACTCCAGAAGATATCCACGAAGCCCTGTCCACTGCCACAGGTGTATCCCCAGTCGCCGTCTTACCTTCACAAAATAATGATGCACATCCCAGCTCTTCAGCTACGTCATGGATCGTCCGTTTCTCAAAGAGTCACCAACGTCTGCATCGCGTCCTTTACCTATTTGGATGGCGAAATGTAACAAAGCATCTCCCGAGACGACAGTCAATCATACAATGCAGCTGTTGCTAGTTATGGAACAATAGTCGCTCATGAGCATCTCCTATTAGATGCCGTCTCTGCGGCTCGTCACAACACACCGAAAGAGACCACTACACCCACTGCGCTGCCCCCGCGGGCCATATATGCCCCCTCGATGTATCCATTGCCATGGTCCTCACATAGCTAATGATACCGCCTACGAACTCCGCCCCAAGCCCAATCCACCCCCTAAATCCAAACCGCAAATATCTGCAATCAAGAAAATCAGCGCAGAAGCTCGCCTGCGATACCAAGCAGAAGCTGGCTGCGTAAAACCCTCACCAGAGATCTCCAATGTCACCCAGCAAATCATCTCTACTCCAGCATTAGATAATCTCTCGTCAGGATCAATACCACAAATTAGACAAAATTTTACTACAGTGGCACCCCACCCTGGCCCCTCCGCCCAAAGCTCAAACAACCGTTTCGATATCCTTAACGTAGAAGGTAGCCAGAGCGAGGAACAAATGCAACAATAATGAGCGGAAAACCTCGAAACACAGCTCGCAACAAACCGCTAAGGATACTCTCTCAAAATGTAGGTGTGATAGAACCAATCTGGCTGTGATGAAATTCGATGTATTGAACTAATTAAAGAAGGAAACTATTGCTATCAAGTAAGGTTACTTATAATTCTTTCTAACTCATCCCTTCCTTCAATATTAGATAGTCCTTTAAACAGACGTCATTTCATTCTCACTCATACATTACTTCATTCCAACTCGCACGTCATATCCGATGTCTCCTTACACGTCATTCCCATGATTTAGAGATGATGTAACCACTTTCGATCTTGCTTAGTCGTCTGCCTAAGCCACTACACGGTCAACCCGTAACAGTAGGACGTGGAGCACAAGCCCACGAAATCGCCTTAAAGGAAGCCTCTACAAACAAGGTAGATATAATTTTTATACAAGATCCTTACATATATCAAGACCGATACAGGAGAATAACCAAACCACATCCATCCTTCGAATCCTTTTCCCCAATAGACAACTGGACAACAGAAAAGCCGCGCGTAATCTCCTATGTCTCTAAAGGAGTAGGTCTCTGTACCGAACAAGTCCGAACTGGTATATCTCGAGACATTTTACATTTACGACTAACCTCAAAATATTGCCAGATAGTCAATTTACTTAACATCTATAACGCACCTGCCGGCTCTCTTGGGGAAATTGCGCTTGAAAAATTGTACACGTATCAGTCTAAAGAATTCGGCGGGAGTTGCCTACTCAAAGGGGATTCCAATCTTCACCACACTTGGTGGCAGCCATCCTGGCCACGCGGACCATCTAGGGGCTCAGAAACATTCGTGCAATGGGCTGAAAGTCATAACTTCCATCTCCCCTCGCCTATAGAAGAGGCAACTCACAATCGTGGAAACTTACTGGACCTAGCGCTCGGGCAAAGACGTGATTAAAATGGCAAAGTGGCACAGATCAACCGAGAATTTCCGATCAACCCCTCTCAAAGACCCCTAGTCACTAAACATTAACCATGTAATCACAACAGAGAAAAAAAGGAAAGATTATTAGCCAACTTACTGACAATTTCCACAAACGCCAAAGTTATGCCATAAGACACTCCTGCTATGCCAAGTACCTGACTTCCATTCCCTCCCCTAGCAAATGAAGAAGTGAAAGCAGCGATTCTCCGAGCTGGCAATTCGGCCCAGGGGTTGATGAGGTACCACCAGTTATCCTTAGAGAAGCATGGCCGCTTATTCAAGATCATATCATAGCACTCTTCACTAGTTTTCTGTCACTGGGATACCATCCCACTTGCTTCCGGCAGGCTGAAGTAGTTATCCTTCAAAAGCCTGGCAAGACTGATCTATCTTCGCCTCGATCTTATCTGTTATGACACGCAGAATATAGCAAGCAAGAACTCAAGGTTTAAAAGGTAATAAAGCTAAAGAGCAAAGCTATGTCTACAAATTATATATATCCAAGTGTATGAGATTAAGTGAATAGTAATTAATAAGTCGTCAGTGCTTCCATAACGCCAGACCACCGTAGGTATCCTAATCCAACTCCTTGTCTGTACACCTTATCCCTAGCCACTTAACATTATCGACTGATTGCGCTCCTTTCAGTTCTAAGAAAAGGTCTGGAAAGGTTAATAGCAAAACGTATATCTTGGATCGCTGTCAGACATAAGGTCCTGGCATCCCAACAATTTGGAGCTCTCCCCTGCAGATCTGCAACTGACCTCACAACCAGCCTCACCCATGATGTGGAGAGAGCTCTCAACGAAGGACGCACAGCAAGCATGCTCACACTGGACGTGAAAGGCGCTTTTGACGCCGTTCTCCCAGGAAGACTCTTGTACCGCATGCGCATCCAAGGCTGGCCCAACAACTTCGTCGACTGGGTCGGCTCCTTCGTAACGGGACCCTCAGTACGGATCCGTACAGATGGAGAGATAGGCCCTCTTCAAAAAGTAACATGTGGTCTCCCGCAAGGATCTCCCGTATCCCTTATCCTTTTTATACTCTACATTGAACCTCGCTTCAGACTCAAAAACCTCACAAATGCATTCGGATACGAGGACGATGTGGTCATCCTAGCAACTCAAAAATCGCTCACAGAAAACTGTGAATTTTTTAAAAAGTCCCTACAACAAGCCTCCGAATGGGGTAAGACTGAGGGTATCACGTTTGACCCTCGAAAATCTGATCTGCAACACTTTTCTAGGCGCCGCTGCGATCGGGATCCACATAGTACCCTAAAAGTATCGTCCGGCGAGATGGAGGTTACTGAGAATACATCTCGACCATACACTAGATTGTTGGGAGTACACTTTGACAAAAACCTGACATTTAAATGGCATGTACAAATCTTAGCGGGTAAAGCCCTGAAAGTCGCGAATGAACTCAAATCTCTGGGCAACACAACGAAAGGAGGACCCCCTTATCTACTTCGTCAAGCTGCTCTAGTCTGTGTCCTACCGATCGCGTATTATGGAGCCGGGACCTGTGGCCAGGCTGCAGCAGGAAAATTAACCAAAACCGCACAGTTTCGAACCGCGTTGAAGGACACGTCTCTTTCTTGCATAGAGTCATCATGACATGTGCTAGAGCTATCCTATCAGTGTACAGCACCACTCTAACACCTGCACTATTTCGAGAATCTGGCCTCTTGCCACCCAAGCTTGAACTAGACTCTAGAGCTCGCAAGGCCGTCCTGTGAATACATCGCCTTGATAGCAGGCACCCCCTCAGACGAAGAGCCAACTTAGTCATCAGAAATCAGAGCCGCGTCTCCCGTTTCTCGGAGTGGATCTTGGCAAGTCCCTCAGTAGAGGACATAGACCTCCTAATCAATGCACCTTGGTCCGTGAAAGAAAGCTGGCGCGACAGCATCAGACGAATAGCCCAGCAACCAATCTCTTTGCCAACTGAAATTCCTTTCCAGGACCTCATTGCATACACCGATAGGAGTAGACTCCAAGCCTCGCTAGACACAGAGC